CGGGGGGGACAAGGTGCTGCAGAAGAAGTGGACGACGTTCCTGAAAGCCCAACTGGTGTGCTCGCATCCCGGCCACGTCCCCTTCAACGTCATCCATCACGCCTTCGCCCTGCCCCGCCGCGATGGCCGTGCCGACTTCTATGCCGTCTTCACCTCGCAGTGGTGAGTCCTGGCACCCAAGGGTGCTGCGGGTGCACTGGGGACCCGCGTCGTGCCCATGCCCCCCGTGCTGTCCTTTCAGGCAGGCGGGGCGGGCAGCGCCGCCGTCTGTGCCTACAGCCAGGAGGCTCTGGAAGAGGTCTTCGAGGGCAAATACAAGGAGCTGAACAAGGAGAGCTCCCGCTGGACGGTCTACGGTGGCCCCGACATGAGTCCGCGGCCCGGCAGCGTGAGTGCTGCCCACCCGGGGGGCAGGACCCTCCCAGGGGACAATGCTGGTCCCCATGGGGAGGGGTTTGTCTGTCCCAGTTTACCCTGTGTGCTCACACTGGGGTGAGATAGGCATGGGGGTGTTGGGGTGATGGTTGGGCTGATGATCTTAGAGCTCCTTTCCAACCTTAATGATTCCTAGTTGTACTTTCATTCAAAAATAATCCAGCCACCAAGGCTGAAATTATTCCTCTGACCTTAACTGGTTTAGTGGTGGACTTGGCAGTGTGAGGTTAATGGTTGGACTGGATGATCTTAAAGGTCTTTGCCAACCTCAACGATTCAATGATTCTATGATTTGACGATTCAATGATTCTATGAGATGGTGGTGGTGTTGCAAGCGGGATGGGAAAGGGAAGGGGGGTTCCTTTTGCACCCAACTGATGCTGGCATGGGCTGGTGGCACGTTCCCCCCCTCCCCATGCCTCAGTTTCCCCACACCAGCACCAACTCCTCTCTCCCTGCAGTGCTACATGGGTCCCTCCTCTGACAAAGCCCTCACCTTCATGAAGGACCATTTCCTAATGGACGGGAAGGTGTCACCCACCCAGGGGCGGCCGCTGCTGGTGAAGACGGACGTCACGTACACACGCATCGTGGTGGATGAGACTCATGACATCTCAGGGGCCACCTACCGCGTCATGTTCCTGGCCACAGGTGGGTTTGTGTGGGGGATACACACAGGGTGCCTGGGCACCCCTCCTACCCTTCCCTTGGCCCCCCCAAAACACTGGTGATATCCCCTGCACCCCTGCAGCGGAGGGTTTCCTGCACAAAGCGGTGGAGCTGCCCGAGGGTCCCCACATCGTGGAGAGCATCCAGCTCTTCGAGACGTCGGAGCCAGTGAAGAACCTACTGCTGGCCCCGGGGAAGGTAGGGGACGGGGATGACCCAGCAGCCCACCCCAAGGCCGGCACGGGGTGGGCGCAGGGGAGGCTCAGCCCCACACCTCTCCCTCCCCAGGGCATCCTCTACGTGGGCTACTCCGGTGGCATCCTCCAAGTCCCGTTGGCCAACTGCAGCCTGCACCGGAGCTGCGCCGAGTGTGTGCTGGCGCGGGACCCGTACTGCGCCTGGCCCAGCCTCGAGGGCTCCTGCCAGCCCCCCTCCGCCGCCGAGGACAAGTGAGCTGGGAGAGGCAGTGGGATGAGGACGGGAAAGGGGATGCGGAGGGGACCGGGATGCTGATGCCACTCTCCCGGCTGCAGGAGCGTGTGGCGGCAGGACGTCAAGGCGGGGAGCCCAGCTGCCATGTGCCCCCGCGGGAGGAGTGTGGCCATGCCCCGAGCCTGGGGGGCACCGGACGATCCCGCCCCAAAGAGTTGAGTATGGGGACGCGGCGGGACAGGGTCAGGGTGCAGCGGGACGGGGACCGGAGGGTTGGGAGGGGGGTAGATGGGGTGCACTGCATCACCCTGCTCTCCTCCTCCGCACCCCACAGGGCTCAGCCCCCGGCTCAATGCCGTGGTCCATCTGCCGTG